AAAAGCAAATTAAAGTCAATTTTTTTTTGCCAAGTAATAACCCAGTTTGAAAGCTAGTTTGTTTTCATTTGTATTTTCTTCTTCAAACTTACTTTTCCATTAGTGGAAGAGGTTAGATACTTAGGCTACGAGTATTTTGAAAGCCCTTCATATAAGTAAAGAAGTAAGTACAAATCCTTTCAGAGAGACCCCAGGGGTCCATTGGTCAATAGTAGTTACCTGGCAGCAATATCTTAGTGGATCTTTATGAAATGAGGGTAGGATTCACTGAATTCACTCAATGGTGTCCATGTGTCCCGTCAGGTGTGCTGTGCTCTGAGCCCACAATATGCCACAAGAAGAGGGTCACTTCAGCTACGGCCATCTGAGGAAGGGGCATGGCCACGCTTACATCACGACTGCAGAGTAAGTGCTGAACCTGACAGGGTCCCAGTTGGCTGTTTGTGGGCATAGCCTGCTGACCGCCACCTCACAAGGCCATTTGTAAATCTTCATGGTGCTTATTTTCCCAGAAAGTAAGAACTATAGCAACAAGGGGAGAACCTTTTGGTTCTCCAGAGGGCTCAGTCCTTTCTCTGGAGCCAAACAAGTGGGAAAAAAGGAAAAATAAAGTGTTGGATCTGTCTTTGTCTGCATTTGCAGCTATTGAGCCTCCTTAGCCCTAGTCCCCAGACTGACAGACTTCTGTCTGACATCAAGAGGCTTCTTTCCTCAAGCCCCATTCTGTCGACTCCTCTCAGGCTGCCGAAGGTGACTTGTAGACAGAAAGAAGCTGAGGCGCCCGAGCGAGTGTAGATGAGGGCAGGTGTGTGGAACTCAGCCTGCAGGCTAACTCCAGGATACAGCTGGGCCATGCTGTTGTATTATAGCTGTGCAGAAAGGGTGCCACATCACTAAGAATTAATTAAAAACAAGAATGTAAATAAGTAGCATTTCTATGGTGCAGTGCATCATATAATAGTCCGAGGCACATATTACTTTTATCATTGAAAAAGCAAATAAGACAGTGGGAGAGTTAGATAAGAAAAAAATAGCAGATGTAAGTGCTACTAGCTGGGCACAATGGATGGCACATACCTATAATCCCGGCATTCTGGGAAGCTGAGGCAGGAGGATTGCAGATTTGAACCCAGCCTGGTGACTTATAAATTTAACTGTCTCAAAATAAAAACAGGAAAGGACTAGAGTTGAAGAACATAGCTCAGTGAGGGGAGCCTGGGTTTAAGCCCAGTGTAACTCTACCATGAACAACAAGAAGAAGGAGAAGGAGAGGGAGAAGGAGGAGGGAGAGGAAGAAGGGGGGGAGGAGGAGGATGAAGAGGAGGAGGAGGAAGAGGAGGAGAAGGAGGAAAAGGAGGAGGAGAAGGAGAAGGGGAAGGGGAAGGAGAAGGAGAAGGAGAAGGAGGAGAAGAAGAAGAAGAAGAAGAAGAAGAAGAAGAAGAAGAAGAAGAAGAAGAAGAAGAAGAAGAAGAAGAAGAAGAAGAAGAAGAAGAAGAAG